CCACTCCTGGTACTGGTTCAGGCTGAGGGACCTCTGCAGACACCTCTGCTGTACCTCATGGGGCTCTCTCTGACTCGTTTACCCACCTCTTCGTACCCACTGGGTCGTCCTCCTTGCCATGTCTCATCCCATGCCCCATTATTCTTGCTTTCCAGCATCTGGAATCGTGGGCTGCTTGACCATCCCTGTGAGTCCCATCTTTGCCAACCCCTCGCATTCTCCCCAGGACCTTTAATCCTGTCAATGCCCAGAAATACCCTCCTCTCCACAGCAAGCCTGTGAAATACATGGGAAGCCTAAAAACGAAAGGAATCAGCTTGACGTCTGCCTTCCAGCAGGTCTCAGCTCGGAGTTGATCCAAAGGCTGCTCCAGCCCCATGAGCATCCTCCCAGGCAGCTTCCATCTGTGGTTTCCTCTGTTTTGTGCTGACTCTGGTTGTGAATGGGGAATAATGATTCAGCTCTTTCATGAGCCCAGAGCCAGTCCATGCCCCCAGTGGTGCTGGAAGCACCTCCATCCGCTGAGAAGATTCAGCTGTGCTGACACGGAAGGTAATTTTGCAGTTTGTTCTGTGCCTGTGCATCTCTGGGGAGAGCTGTGGGCACTGGTGTGTGTCACGTGAAAGTGGGGGGAGCTCGCCTGACCCTTAGAGAGGGGAGATTTTATTGACCCACAAAGATTTATTTGTCTGTTAATGCCCCAGGGAAAACAAAACCATGTATATCCAACCAGTCTGTCAAGTATCCCATAAGGGGACTCTTCAACAAACACTCTTCACAGGATGGGGGATGATTTGGTTGCCCTTTTCAGGGGACTCCCACCCAACAGCGTAAGGGAGAACCCCTCAGTGGGCCTGGCAGCATGTTATTCCACTGCCAGCAATCTGTCAGCACCTTATAAAGGACTCACTTTGACAGTTGACAGAATAATACTCTTTATTCATACAAACTGTGACAGGTTAATAAGGTTTGTAGGTCGCTGGTGATAGTGTCTAACCGGAAAAATGTGTTTAAAGCAATCTAATCATACTATAAAGAAAGCACAAACACTAATACAAAACAATCTACCAACAGATTATGGAGCAAAAGCAAGCTCTAGTCCTGAAAGCAACACATAGAATAAGTTTGTCACCTGATAGGCATCCCTAAAGCAGGGAGGGAAGACAGGTTCAGCCTGTCAGCCAATCCCAGTAGTTGAGGTGGAATCTTTCTCCAATTTCTCCCCATTTCCAACTTCCTTTCCTATTATTTCTTTAGATTTAGGTGGAGCTTGAATGACTGTAGTCATAAGTACATAATTGGGTAGTTGTCCTTGGCATTTATCTTTCTTGGTGGGCACGGTCAAAGTGTTACCATGTTGCCCTCCCTGCAGGATGTTTCTGAAGGGAGGTTGCAGTGCCTTCACTTTGCTTCCCTCTCTGTTGCATCTCCCATAACAGGTGTTTATCAGTGTTTAGGAAACCTCTGTGGGGCATTGTGACTGTGTTCCACGTGGGAAGCAGCAGCTGGGTCTCCTCTGTAATCCTTGTTCTCCTTTAACTTCCTACCCTATCCATTATTCCACAGTGTGTCACTGGGATTTTAGACAGAAAGGAAAAATGATTTTACCCGGGACCTGTGAGGAGATGCTGGGAGCTAAACCCACTGCACTGCCAAGAGTTGGGCCATGCAGTTTGCTTAGTCCTTTTCCAAAAACACCAATGGTTCAGATTCCATGTTAGCACGTGCTGTTCCAAAAGAGAAGGAAACGAGAAAATCCAGACAGTGCCACCATCTGTCCTGTGCTTGAGAAAGCAGTTGGGCAAAACTCCTTTGCTCTGTGCAGGAGCACCTCTGGTTGCCACGTGGGGAAGGCAGGCTGGGAACTGCTTTACTGCAGTTTTGGCATCTCCTGGGCAAAGGAGATGCCATCTCCATCTGCTGGGTTGGACACTGGCAATTTCCCGTCTTCAGTTAAATGGTAATCTAGAAAAAGAAAAGAAAATGTTACTTCCATTCATCTAAGTCCTTGATCTTGCTGGGAGCAAGAAGAAAGGAATGTTGCATTTATCAAAAACCAATAATCTCAATTTTCATGTGTTATTTTCACACCCAGAGTTAGACTAAGAAATCAGGTCAATATTAGAGGTTTGTTTAACCAACTTAGCCTCTGCATACAAAGGCCAAATTTTCCTGTTATACAAGTTTTATAAGTCGACACTTCAGTTTCTGAGGAACTACTTATCTACTGTGTATCTGGAGAGGATTCTCTGAAGTTACACTCCATGTACGCAAGAACCAGCAAACCTTTTCAGACTAATTACACAATGGGAGAATTTCCCTATTTATTTTTTTACTGGTGCTCTTGGTTATTGTGTGGGTTTCCCTCCAATGGGATTTATGCACTCAGCTTTCACACAGCAACTGTGCAAATAGTGGTGCTCCAACAGTAACAAAAATCCCCAAGCACATGAAGTCTTTTGCACTTTCAAATATCTCTTTCCCTAGTGGATGGAATTCTATTTAAGAGCAGCTCATGAAAAACTATACAGATAATTAGTAATGTCTGTGTAAACATCAGACCTGTTCTAAGGCCACTACAATATGAGCCGCTTTAGACAATCCAGGTCACATTCAGGTTCCCTCTGAAAGCACCAGCTACTTGAACAAACAAAATCTGATTTCACTTGAAATGATTCCCACGGAACTACTAATTGGTGATTCATTGTAAACTCACAGCCTCACAATGCTTCCTAATGCAAAGAACCTTCCAAAGAGGCAGATTAATTTACTGAAAGGGAATTAAGAGAGAAAACACATTCAAGATCAGCCTGACCTGTCTGAAGTGCCAGATGGATGGTTCTGCTGTGCCGGTGGATTTGAGGGGTTTTACATCAGAGGCTCAAGAAGTCCAGGAAATGCCAACCTTGTTCAGCAGCAGTGCAGTGTCTTCGGAATGCAGGTTCAGCTTCCTTCCAACACTGCCATGGCCCAAGGGAGGAGTCCTGACTGAGTTCCAGGCTGTGTAGATGGAATGCAGTTATCACTGTCCACCAGACCTAAAGGTTTCCATCCCTTCTCCCAGGTTTTATTTCCTCACTGACTGCTATCACTTTGCCCTGCCAAAAGAAGTGGGAGATCCAGGTCCTGCATGATTTACATTTCCCCCAGATAAGCCATTTTAAAACAATAGAAATATTGGAGAAAACCATCTACCTTAAACGATCTCAGTCTCCTTCAGACATGGTCTTCACTTTATGTATCTGAAATGATTGGATGTTTTAAAGAAAAACATCCTTTCTTTTTCATATGAGGTAACATTTTTCGCCTGGTAACGCCCAAAGCTCAAAGTAAAGGAAACTGTGTGATGTGAATAACACAGATAAACCTGCAAGCTCAAGAAGGCTCAACCAGCCTTCTTTAGGTTGCACTGCCTCTGTCCCTCAGAGAGTAAATGCTAGGAGAAGTGACTTTTCTCCATCCATTCCATGCTGGCTTATATGCAGGTGGAATTTGCTGACTAAAGCTACCCACAAAGACTTGGTGTCTTTGCAAGTGTCTGGGTAAACTCTGGATCTTAGATATCTAAAAAGATTTGAAAGCAAGGGATATTATCTTGCTTTTTGAACAAAAAAAAAAAGAGGTAAAAGAAAAAAAAATGAGGAGAAGGTTTTGGGCTTCCTATGTATTTGACATGCTTGCTGTGGAGGGTAGAGCATTTCTGGGTAGTGACAGAGGTAATGGTCCTGGGGAGTGCCCAGGGAGCTGGTGGAGGTTGGACTCATGGGGGTGGTCAAGGAGCCAATGGTTCAAGAGCCTGGAAAGTAGGGACAGTGGAGCATGGAATGAGCAGTGGGGAGGATGAGAGTGGTCTCAAGCCCCAGTGGGCATCAAGAGGTGGGTGAGTGAGTCAGAGGGAGCCCCATGAGGTACTCCAGAGATCCCGTGAGTCCCACCTCTATCAGCTCTGATGGCTCTCCTTGATCCCCGGTAATAGCCAGAAATGCCCTCCCCTCCAGAGCAAGCCTGTGAAATACACGGGAAGCCCAAACGAGAAAGGAATCAGCTTGGAGGTGCTAAAGGCACAAATCCTCTTTTTGCAGTGCTGCAGTCACAAGAGGTTTTTCCATTTCCCTGCAGTTGCTCAGCTACATCCAGCTTGGCCTGTCTTGAGAATGAGGTTGGACTGCCAGATCTGCTCCTTATCACCCTTGTCCCTTATCTGCCTCAAAATCACTTTAAGAGGCCAGTCCCAGGTTATCAGGGACAAAATAAACCACAGGACTCAACGACTTCCTTCAAACACACTTTGGTCTATCACACTTCTTCTGGTCATTTCTGCTTGTGACAACCAACTTGTTTTCCAGTATTCCTGGACGTTTGGAAGTGGATGAAAATGAGTCCAGTTTAGTAGTGGATGAATGATTATAGACTCATAGAAGACTCATTTTGAGTCTTGGAAGGGCCCTTAAGGATTATCTGGATCCAATCTGCTGCCATGGGCAGGGACACCTTGCACTGGACCAGGTTACTCCAAGTCCCATGTAACCTGGTCTTGAACATTTCCAGGGATGGGGTAGCCACAGCTTCTCTGGGTAACCTGTGCCACTGTCTCACCACCCTCACAGTCAAGAGTTTCTTCCTCATATCCAAACTAAATCTACTCTCCTTCAGTTTAAAGCCATTCCACCTTGTCCTATCAACTCCAGGCCCTTGTGCAAAGTCTTTCTCCAGCTCTCTTGCACACCCTTAAAGAACTGGAAGGGGCTCTAATGTGTCCCCAAGACCTTCTCTTTCCCAGGTTGGTGGCAGGAATAAGGGCTCTTACAAAGCCTTGGCAATCCAGAAAGGGAAAATATGCAACCTGGCCATATTAATTATGTACTGAGAGGCTGCAGAAGAGCAGACTGTGGACATCTGGGGGTACTCTGAGACAGGTTGGTCAAAGGCCACCAGAGATGTTCTGCCAGGAACAGAAACCTGTGTGGGTGCTGCAGCAGCAGTGGCTGTGGCCCGTGGGGAATGAGGAAATGGACAGGGATGTCACCAGACCCAGTTAACTGCTCCTGACCTGTTGCTTCAAGTCAACTACCTTTGGAGAAACCCAGAAGAAATTGCAAATAGCAACTGTCACCCAATTTCTGCGAAAGGAGGAACAAATCTCCCCTGAGTAACAACAGAAAACTTCTCTTTTCTATGGAATTCCTGGTTTATCAGATTTACAACCGGGCATATATTGCAGTGGGCCTCCTGAGGGATCAGCCAACTGTTTCTCCAGGGAGAAGAAGCAAGGAGCGGCTCAGCTGCCTGTTCTGAGATTCTGCTTCAAGGTAAGCTCTTACTCCTTTCTCAACATTGACTCCAATATTTCAAGTATTTCCTTGGCTTTGGAATAAAGAGATCAGATAAAGTGTAGGCTGGAGTTGCTGAGCTCCAACATCTACCTTCCAAGGCGAAATGAGAGGTTATGCATGCACTGAATTGTGCAGCTCTTTAACTTTTTGTATTAAGGAGGGCAAGGACAGAAGGATGGATTTGGGAGAGAAATTCAAGCCAAGTCACCTGGAAAATTCACACCATAGTGTTGACTAAGAATCAGGAGGGGTGAGATGTGGTTCTGAGCTTATGCAGTACCAAAATTCCACCCATGACCTTGCAAAAACCTCTGGACAAACATAGGTGATGGCTGAACTCCTGGGCAAACTTAGTCTGAAACCTTTGGCAGGAGATGTTACAAGTCTTCCTTCTAGGAGATCATATATAAAGAGCCAGTCTCAGACTGCAGCAGAGACATTTCAAAGTCCTCGGACACTCTGGGGCTGTGGGCAGAGTCCTGAGCCGATATTTCCCACGGTAAGTTGGTTTCTATCTATCTGATATTGAGTAAGTGGGATATATTTTAAGCTCATGGAGGGGTTGGCACAAAAGGACCTTTCAGGAATTTCCCTGCTTGATTTGGGGCAGAGATGGTCCTGCTCTGCAGAGTACTGTAAAAAGCCAATGCTTGTGGCTCATATTCTGAGTTTCCTCCTCACTGGTCCCCACGTTCCTGATCCAGGGCTGGTAAAGAGAAAAAGGACCAGATGTCTTGGGTGAGAGTAAGGGGGTGTGTAGCTCTATATCCAGTTGGATATGAAGAGATAAAGGTCAAAGCAAAGGGTCAGAAGAGAGCAAATGTGCAAGGTGCCTTGTCAAGTCTTCTGCAGTCCTCAGCCCATACCCTTTTGCAGTGTCAGGTGGGCTGTGTCAGCTTTCTGTCCCATGAAATGGCACAGAATTAAAATGGTAGAGAAAAGATGAATTCTCCCACTGCTGCCTCCTGTAGTCATCTTAACCCTATTTTAGATTTCACCCTTTTTACCCTGGTGGTTTTCCATATCCAGGAGGTCAGACAGTACCCTGTTCTGGGTCTTTCATAGTCCTCTAGTCAGCCAGCTGTGTCCCACCAGCACAAAAATGACTGCAGGCCATGGTCAGCTCTCTCCAAGCTGAGTGTCCCTCTGCATTTGCCTTCCAGGGGAGCAAGAGCCCTTCACTTGAAATCCTCCAATGATGCTGTGGCTGCTGCTGCTGCAGGTCTGGGCGAGCTGCCTCTGGCTGGGACACAGCGAGGTGGTGAATTCCTTTGCAAGCTGTCCTCAGTTCTTCTACAGTAACAGTCCCCCAGATGCAGCAATGAAGCCACAGAACCCAGCCTGGATCTGCCAGACCTTCAAGAACCAGCCTTTCTATGCTACCTTGTACGACAAAGACAGGCGTATTCCCATGTACTCTGCTTACAAATACGAGCCTGGAAGGTTCATCACAAACCACACATGGACAGTTGAGCCCCAGGTGAGTGTCCTCTCTTACAGCATGTCACTCTGCAGTCATTAAAAGATGAACTGTAGCATTTAACCAAACATCTCTATTTCCTCCCACCCCCATACACACACATGCAAATGGACCCACTGGGTGGGATTCATCTCACCTCACTTCAAACACCTGCACCACATGATTCCTCTGATGCATTTCAAACAGCAGGAGCAGGAGCAGGAGTCCTATCCCAAAGGTGCCCAGTTTTCTGCATTGACCTGACAGCAACATCAAGGCAAATTCCATTCCATTCCATTCCAAAGTCAAATGACCTCCCTCTCTGTGCCCTGCTGTGGTGGGAAACCCAGCAATGGGGAAAAGGCATCCAACAGCAGCTAAATTAGGGGGACCAAGAGTCCTGCTGGATTCTGATCTCCACTTTGCCCTGAGCTGTTTTGCATCCCTGACAAAGCTTAATTTCTCACAGTTAAAACTCCATTTGTCTTTGTAACTGATGTGCCAGAAGTGAGGAGAAACTCAGAATTGGGCGAGATGATCCAGGGAAAAAGCCTTGGCACAGGCACTGAGTGATGAGAGGGTTTGGTGAACACTGAGGAATGTATTGAGTGATATTTCAGGCAGGGAAAAGTGAGGAGCATCAGTGTCAGTCCAGTCAGAAGGGGGGGATCTCCAGCCATGGGCAGTTGCCCCTGAGCACTGTTGCCTCAGGCTTGGTTCAGAAGGATCCGCCAGACACTCAGATCTCCACAAACAACAGAGCTCTCCCAAATGTCCTTCAGACTTTCAGTAAATAAGACCATGGAAATGATGGAACAGAAAGAGAGGAATTTCAGGTCATTGCTAAGGACAGAGTAGCAGGATGGAATTTAGGTGTTCATGAGTGACAGAAGAAAGCCATTTGCCCTGTTCCAGAGGGAGAAGAAATATGTGTTTCCAAAGATGAACAGAAAGGTGATGGAGGTCTAAAAAAAAAACCATTTCCACTCTGTACTCATTGGAACTCAAGGAACTAATATGATATTGCACCACTGCAATCTCCACATTTAGGGCTGGGATAAAAGCTTCTCTTGTTTCATAGAATCACAGAATCATAGAGGGATATGTGTTGGAAAGAACATCAAAGATCATCTCAATTCAACCCCCCTGCCATGGGAAGGGCCACCTTTCCCTAGACCTTGTTGCTCAGAATTCCATCCAACCTGGCCCTTTCCCTCCTGGACCACAGAGCCAGGCCACCTGCAAACTCTTTGATTTTGGTAGCTTTCTCCAGAGGTCCTTTTTCAGTACTTGGGTTCCTCAGGACTCTTTGGGGATTATGAGCTCCTTGAAGAGGCTGATCATTTTTAACTTCTTTTTAGTGAAGCTGCCGAAGATGCTCCCTGTCCCAGATCAGCTCTGAGACACATTATTAGGACTGCAGTAGCAGATCCCATTTGCATTGAGGTCTTTTTGATTAATGAACAAAAAAACTTTCATCCTTGCAGTGACCTGTAGCCTCTCCTGGGAAACTTCACCTCTAGGACTGGTTTCTCAACACATCTCCCTGTGTCTGGGGTTACAGAAGGCAAACCCTGGTGTTCCAGGAGTGTGGTACACCTGTAGCAGCCACAGATGGAATCAGAGAATGAGAGACTGGGGGTGGGAGGATGTGGGGTAGAAGTGGGTTTGGAGACAGGTTGAAAGGGAACCAGTTGTGTCAGGGAAGGTTTCTCAACAAAGACCTTTCTCCTTTCAAATTCAGAGTGGAAAATGCTCATTATCTCATGTATCCAGCCAAACTCCCAATGCAGGTTGCAGGCTGGATCACAAAGGTCACAAGTCAAATGGAGAGCAGTCACATTCTCAACTTCCTTTCTTTTAAAAGCTCTTAAGTTCATCCAGGAGGGGCAGCTATAGGATTTCTCTCAAATTCATCTATTTACATAGAATGAGATGAGAAAAAATGTGTTCTTGACACCTGGAGACTTCTTCTTGAGGGAAACCTGCTCCATTACTCCCATCCCCAATACTAACACCTTTTCCTCTTCCTTACCTGTCAAGCTGATACATTCAAATTTGCCCAAAAACATGCAAACAGTGCAGACCCTTGAACGTCAATACAACATCAGCAAAGCGCAAATCATGCAAAACCAGGCTGTCAACACAGACTACGAGCACAGCGGTTGGGACCATGGTTATTTGAACCCCAATGGCCACCACAACACCTTGGACAGCAGGAATGCGACCTACACCCTCACCAACATAGTGCCCATGAACGAAAAACTCAACCGAAAAACCTGGAGAAACTACGAGCAGCAAACGATGACCAATAAAAGCAAGGACTGTCAAACCACCTACGTCATTGTGGGTGCTGTGCCTGGGAACTCCTCCATCTCCAATGGGAGGGTTAATGTACCCAGCCACATCTGGTCTGGTGCCTGCTGCAAGACCAAGAACAACACTGTCAGTGCTTGGGCAGCCATTGCCGAGAACAACCAGGACCAGGTCTGGGACCTCACTCTGGGGGAGCTGGAGAACAGTTTGGCCCAGCTGTATGAAATGCAAAATATTTCTCTCTTCCACAGTTCCTGCCCCCGTACAAAACCCTCACATCCCGGGTGTAAAAGGCTCAGGGGCTTTTCTCACATATCACAGTATCACAGAATGCTTTGAGTTGGAAGGAACCTCAAGGATCATCCAGTCCCAACCCCCCCTGCAATATAGCAGGGACACCTTCCAATAGACCAGGTTGCTCAGAACCATGTCCAACCTGGCCTTGAACACTTCCAGGGATGGGGTAGACACAGCTTCTCTGGGCAACCTGTGCCAGGGCCTCACCACCCTCACAGGGAAGAATTTCTTCCTGATATGTAGTCTGACCCTGGCCTTTGCCAGTTTAAAGCCATTCCATTTTCTCCTGTCAATTCATGCCCTTGTCCCTCTCCAACTGTCTTGGAGACCTTTTAGGTACTAGAATGGGATCTAAATTCTCCTCAGAACCTTCTCCAGATGAACACCCACAGCTCTCTCAGCCTGTCTCCAGAGCAGAGGTGATCCAGCTCTCAGAGTACCTTCATGGCCTCCTCTGGACTCCACCCCAACAGGTTGGTGTCCTTCTCTTGTTTTGAGCCCAGAGCTGGAGGCAGCACTGCAGGTGGGGTCTCAGGAGAGCAGAGGAGAGGGGGACAAATGTCCTCTACACTGTCCATCCTGCTCCCTTCTCTGGTGCGTTTCCAGCTCTGTCCCTCAGGGCAACTCCTCCTCCTGCCCTGATAAAAGGGAGGAAGAGGTGGGCAGAGCCTCCAGCTGGTTTGCTTTGCTGCCCATGCTGGCAGAGAGCTCTTAGGGATGAGTCCTTGCCCTGGTAGTCTGGAGGGAACAGCTGGAGAAGAGCCCATGGACAAGGAAATCAGAGCTTCTCAGTGAGCCCAGAAGGGTTTTACCTTGTTTCCCTTTTGCTCCATGTCCAGAGACAGGTCTTAGTTCCATCCTCCCCTCATTAGCTGTCCCTCACAGTGTGCTGCTGACTTGTCCCTCACCTCCTTAGGAAGGCTGTGGGACTAGGGTGGCCCAGGTTGCCCACAGGTGTTGTGGAGTCTCCATTGCTGGAGAGGTTCAAGCCCCAAGTGGACATGATCCTGGACAACCTGCTCTAGCTGAGCCTGCTTGA